AAATGGTTACTATCCAAGTGCTCTCCATGGCAATTATGTCATTACAGACTAAGGATAAAATGGCTAATTGGAATGGAATAGAAGATCAGATAGACTTGGACTCCCATCTGAAAATAAAGCACATGCATTCTTTTTTTTTTCTATGAAAAATTCAACCTAGTGTCCTCTTTCTAGTTTATCCTTAGTGATATCCTTCTGGGGTTACAGAAGGTTACATGAAGAATCTACAATTTGCTATTTGTCCACATTGCGTAGCAAGATTTAAAAAGTTCCCTCTAATGATTCACTTACAATGCTATTAAACCTTTTGTTCATTTATACGGCTCCCTATTTTATTCTCAGTTATTAAAATGCAATTAGTTTTGACTGATTTTTTTTTCCATTGATGATTATGAAATGTGTTTCGGTGACAGTGATTATACAATATTTTTTCTCCCTTAGGATTTACTGATTTTATTGGATTTAATTGGAGCTCCAAACCCAACATTTCCCAATTTTTTCCCAAACACTGCCAGATGGTTTGATAGACTTCAAGCAATTGGTAAGCACCACTGTTAGTAAAGAATAAAAGCTGTTTTCTTCCCACTGACAAACACTGCATTTTAAAATTCAGAATTTATGATTTAGGTGTGTGATTTGAATACGTAATATACTTTACTGGCTTTTTTCCTTGCTTTATCGATTAGTTTATTATTCCCATTCATCTCTTTCAGAAGGCCCACTTCATTTTCCTGCATGAAATTGCATTTTGTAATGGAAACATAAAATACTACATCTTATATTTGCATATCCTTAGAAATAGTTTGGAAATATTTTTCCACAGTCCTTTTTAAAGCATATGGAATGCATTTTTAGGGAAAATTCAGTAAAGCATGTTGGACGATGATGAGTGTTATGTCCTTATAATGATACCTATAGATATTCTTTAATGTTCCTTTCTTTTCCATCTCTGCCTTTGTCATCTTCTATTTTCTGTCTTGTGCAGACGTGATTTTCCTTTAAGTCTGGTACAATCTGCCTATTTCCCAAAGGAGTAGGAGATGGGGATGCAAGAGAAAGCCAAAATCCTTTAAGGGTCATTTAAGAGAAGGTTTAGTGTCAAATAAATGAGAGTAGACTAGGCCAGACTAGGTTAGGCCAGGCCAGGCCAGGCAACCAAGATATCCACAGCCCAAGAGAGAGGCTTGGAACTTGGAGAAGGGAAAAAAGGATAACTTCTTTTCTTTGTACTTCCACACTCCATACACCCCTCCTTACTTCCCCAAACACACACACACACAACAACCACAAAATAAAACAAAACAAAACAAAACAAACAAAAAAACTGGCATCAGGGAGAGATGAACATGAGATAAACTTTTACTGTAGCATCCAAGCCAGGACTGAGGCAAGAACATCAGGCTAGGAATTCCTCCCAAGCCACAGAAGCCTCCTGGAACAGAACAGAATTGTATTTCCTCTAAGCAGTGGGAAAAGCACTGCTATCTCGACTCATGCTTCTGCTGTGAGTTCAGAATTTGCCAATTTCTAGATCTAGACTATTTTCAAAGAAACTTTTACCTGAACCTCAAATGCTTCTCTTTGGCAAATTTCAATTCCTAGTTTGAAAGAATTGCTATAATAGTATTAATATAAGCTTCTTGGGCCACTTCCTTACAGCATATTTTCCTCACTTTGATGGCAGCCTCAAGAAATTGGGTTTGGCCTTCTTTCAAGGATTTTGCACACTTCTCTCATTTTCTCCACTAGAATGAATTTATATCAGTAACTCACATCCTAATGTAATTTTAACTCATTGTGCTGCCTCATCGAGCAGTATTTACACTTCAAACCGTATCTCTAATTGTATAAGGAAAAGTTGTATCCTAAGATATAGGAGTTATAATTATCAATAAACCGATGGGAATATTGTTTTGGTGGTAGTAAAGGCTTTCTCTATTATGTTCTTAAAATCATATTACATATGAATACCTACCACCTGGTCTAGTTTTACCTTTTAAATTGAGCAACTCAAAGAACCCTATCCTGGGAAGTTTCATTCAGTTGTCTTAAACTCTTCTTGTGATCTCTTATCGTCTTGTAACATAGACGCATGGTATATGTAACCATGTAACACATGGGTTCTATGTTACAAGATGACAGGAGTGATGGAATGTGGGCCAATGGGTCTCAAATTTTAGTGTGCATTAGAATCACCTGGAGGGCTTGTTACACTCCAAATTGCCAGGCCCTACCCCCAGAATTTCTGACTCAGTAGGTCTGAGGTGGGCCAGATAATCTGCATTTCTAGCAAGTTCCCCAGTGATGCTGATGCAGCTGATCATAGACCACACTTTGAGAACCATGGTGCAAGTCATAATAGGTATCCCTTTCCCGTCGAGGGGTCACTCAGCATACTACTTCATACCTATTTTGTTAGAGTAGTCCCCTTTCAGGCCCCACATCTCTTAAGGAATTCTTCGTGCAGGAGTGAGGATCTGTAAGTATCTACACCTGTGTTGTCTCCCATTTCCCTCTAGTTTTCTCATTCTCTATCTTTCTCTCTCTTGTTCTGTTAAGTTTCTGACTTTAAGGGGGTTCTCACCTATAAAGCTGGAGTCATGTATGATTCTTCTCTCAGAACTACTCCAAAATGTCTACACCCAAGTTCAGCTCAGATATGTATTGTCGTGTGTGTTCTACTGCATACTGTTTTAAAAACAATGGCCACATGGGTCAGGATTCCAAACTCTTTATGCGTTCTGACTACTGATCAGATATAAGTAGACGTTTATCTGCTTCTGTCATCCACAGAACAAGAACTCCATGAATTAGGTTTGCTCAAGGATCACTCTTGGGAGGGGCGGTATTTCCAGAATTATGGTTATGGAGGTGTGATTCAGGATGACCATATTCCATTTTTAAGAAAAGGTAATGTGTGTGTATGTATATGTATGCATGCGTGCACATGTGTGTGTTTTACCTATTATATTTATTGTGTTTTATGTGCATTTGCAACAATCTAGAAGTGTGAGGAACCATTAAATTAATAATTGATTAATTAAATTATTCACCAGTTATCTCATGGCTTCTATTTTTTCATGAAAGTCATTCTGAATCCCTGAGGACACTTTTATGTTTTTTTCCTACACATGGAATATTTATCAAACTCATATACCTCTGACATTCTGCCTTCTTTTTCATAGAGCTAGGTCGTATTCTTATACTTAGTGTAACTCTGGTGTTTCCGTTACTAGGGAAGCAATATTCTTTCCATCAGAGTTGGAAGTCTAAATTAACCCAAGAATTCTTGCAGTAGCCTCCCAATTGATCTCCTGCTTTTGCTCTTGCTTCCCTATTCTTTACATAGGAAAAAGAGTTATCTTTTAAAAATGTAAATCAAATTATGTTATTTCCCTACTTTAAAGCTCTGGTGACTTTCCATCATGTAGAATAAGACCCAGAGCCTTTATCGTGGCCTACAAGGGCGCCATTTTCTGACCCTTTTCTCCCTCTCCAACATGACCTCCTCCTTCTCTCTCCAATTATTGCTCTGACTCAGCCCCCTTGCTGTTTCTCAAGTAGGCTAAGCACACTCCTGCCTCAGGACCTTTGCACTTGCTAATGCTGCCTGGAATGCTCATCCTCAGATCTTCACACAGCTTGCTTTCTCCCTTGCTGCATCTATTTAAATGTTAGTTTCTCCAAGAGGTCTTCCTTGACTTTAAATATCTCTTTTTTGGCCCTGCTGTGTGCCCCTCATTCTCTAGTTCCTTACCTTGTTTTACTATTCTTTATAAGCTTGATCACTTTCTAAAATTGTTTTTTGTATTTGTTTATTTGCATCTTTGTCTACTGGAATGTATCTCCATATGGACAGGGCTCTGCCTTTTTACTAATGAAACCTCAACTCCTAAAATAGGGACTGGTACATAGGAGGTGCTTTATAATTGTTAACTGAATTAATTAACATTTGTTTAACGAATGAATGACTTTGGAGCATATGGGTAAGATACACGGAAGTACACAGAAGATGATGAATTATCAGCTGTGTTTATATAGTACAGAGCTCCCACTCAGACTTCTTTGATGAAAGATACTTTTCAGTTTACTTACTGGAACTATGCACTGAATTTCAAGTTGTTTCTTCTTGTTAGGTGTTCCAGTTTTGCATCTGATACCAATTCCTTTCCCTGAAGTCTGGCACACTATGGATGACAATGAAGAAAATTTGGATAAAGCAACCATTGACAATCTAAACAAAATCCTACAAGTCTTTGTGTTAGAATATCTTCATTTGTAATATCCTGATTTAGTTTATGGTAATTGCATCTGGTATCACATTCAAATTCAATTTAAAATAATTCAATTTCATTTAAAATAATTTGACTCCAGACAAATGCTGTGTGGAAACTTCTATAGGTTCATTCTGTATGTACTTTTAAATATCCTAGATTTATGTCATTGTCCTAAATTGCTTGTTAATTTTTATTTAGTGATAAAGAAAAGAGAATGTAAGAAATCTGAAGATAGCTATGTTCTAAAAACTCCTTTAGATAAGAAACTATGAAGCTAAATCAGGTTCATATAAGTCAGTATCATGGTCTTCTAAACAGTACTTAAATATGATGGTCATGTGCAATGTGTAGCCTTAGTTTTATGATTTTTTTATACTTGGGAATCTATTGCATATAATCCAAAATAGAAATGTGATTTGAAGATTCACATTTCTTTGAGAAATCTTTGTATGGTTTATCTCATGGAAATTAAGCCAGAATTAAATGCCATGCTGTGAATTTCTTTCTCATGTATATAAATTTAAAATTATATAATTTAAAATATAGCTAAATTTTTATAGTGTTACACATTTAACACTTTTATTATAAAATAATACAGTCAGCACCAAAAATATAGAAAATGGAGAAAAGAAAAAACTGTAATTTCATTATATTAACAGAATCACCATTTACTCTAGTTTTTTTCACATAATTTCAATGCAGTTTTTAATGTAATTAGAATCAAACTGTAGCTATAGTTCTTTTGCCTTTTTTCTGTTGAATTATATAATTACTAGACACTTATTTGCTGTTTTGATCTTGGGTTGAATTCAGTGAGTCCTCCAGAGTCAATATTAAGGTAACACCACAGGAGCAGAACAATTATTATCATTTTTGCGTAGGTAAATTATGTAGTATTCAAGTTTGGTTAATTAAGCATGTTTCTCTCAAGAGATTCATGGATGCACATTTGTTTGAGCTGGAAACAGGAATTCATGGATTTGTCTGTAGCTGTAGGAAACAATTACCTAGAAACACAAACTAGATCAATTAAACAATTAGGAAATTCATCCTGCCATACACATGAAGTTAGTTGGGGCTGCCATTTTTTGTGTTCTCTCCATTCTGAGCAGACATTTAATAAATCCTCACTGGATTCATGTTCTGGGGCCAGGCAGGGTGTGAGACAGACAAGCTGAGCGGGGAAGCAACGGCAATTTCAAGTTCAATAACAAAGGAAGTCACTGGAAAAGGAATTTACGTACTAAAACATATCTTCAGGTTAAAGAAAAGGATAAATATAATTTTATCTATATGCTTTTATATAATTATATAAATGAATAGCCAGGATTATATATAATTTTATGCAACAATATCTGTTCATAATTTCATGTTGATATATTTTACAGAACTAGATTTTTCTAAAATTTCTTTTTATTTTACAAACCTGCTTCTAAAATTATGTTAAGGGATATTGTGCCTTTGTGAGATAAATACTATTAAGAGCTAACACTTATTGAGTAATAGTTCAGTGTCTGAGAGTGTCATAAGTGCTTTATGTGTTTTTACCAACTTAATCCTTGTAACAATCCTAAGGGGTAGGTGATATTACCCCATTTTGTGATGCTCAGAGTGGTTAAGTGTCTTCTTCAAGGTCACGCAGCTATTCAGTGGCAATGATAGGGTTAGAACTCAAGTAGGCTGGCTCTAAAGCTCATGCTCTGACCACTGTAGAGTACTGCCTCTTTACATGAAAAGAACTTTGCAGAAAATTATTAATGACAGGCGTGAAGCGACAATCGTTATCTTGAAATTTTTATAGGGCATTCACTCAGCCTGGGAGAACATTCTTAAATCACTGCTGCCATGATTCACCTGACACTATTAGGCTTCAGAGGCACATCATTTACATGCAGAATTATTTCTCTGCCAAATCAAAGGCTGTTCTTACATCAGCATGGGTATAACAGACATCAACATGAGTGGTTCTAGGGTGAAAAGAATCTAAGCCACAAAGCAGGATTAAAAAGGGCTGAGTTTTCTGGATTAGCTTTCGGATGAGAAAAAATATTTGAGAGGGGTTCAGGGAAAACACATTTTTTAAAAATACCAGAAAATAAATGATTTAACTAATGGTTTAAAACAGAATGAAAAGAAATTTTAATAAGGAACCTAAAAATAAGTTGACAGTACTATATATAATTTATAAGCCTAAACAGTAAGTTCTTTTTGAGGCGGCTTGAAATAAGATGATCTGTTGAGTTGACATTAGTTGAATTATTTTTAGAGGAGGAAGTTGGAGGATATGTTGAAATGAGATAAAAGGAAAAATAAAAACATAAGCAGATTAATTCAATGAAATTTCCTTCCTTCTAAATGGCACATCCTAAAATTCTACTCACTAAGAGTTTGTACTAATATGGGAAAAGCAATCATGATACCCCATAAAAGGAGACATTTTAAGGTATTAATCTTGATATTAATCTTTGAAATAGTTCTGTATAATACATGCCAGTCAGAAATACTGCTTTTTAAAAATTATAGCTGCAAAAGCAGGGCTCCATAAACATTATATTGTATTTGGAATTTTTCTATATGCATTTTGGTGCATTTTACTGCCCCTAAGAGAACAATTTGTATTCTTTGTCTATTACTGTCAACCCTGCAATACATAGGGCTATTTATCTTCTTCAAGAGAAATGAGTTCAAAGGAAAATATTCATAAAAGAGTATTCATAAATTTGGCATCTGAAAAAAATCATTGAGTCTGTTATTGTAGCTTGAGGGTTGTGGCTGGAAGAGAAAAGACAGATCCTTCAAACTGGAAAAATGTTTTAGATGGTGAAGCAGTTGTCATAAGAACGAAGCCATCCATGTTTTCAGCTCCAACTCCAAATCCTTAAACTGTTTATTTCCTGGAGCTTCTTTCTTCCATCAAAGATGTACATTCATGATGAGGCTGCCCCCAAATCATGTGAAAACTGAACAATCACGCAATCAACTTGGCTCAGCTGGAGGTGATTACTTCCAACAAAGGAGGGAAGGACAAGATGCAAGACCTTTCTATTTCTCTGATGTACAGACAGCCCCACATGGGGCTTGGTCGTGCTGTAGTCTACTGAAAATGAAATCTCAGTTTCTCTGCATGCCCCAAATCTGAAGAATGAAGGTGTAGGGGTAAAGGACAAAGGGGTAAAGAGAAGATGAGGGAGACAACTTAAGACAGCCACAGTAATTTAAAGCAAAGCTAACATAGGAAATTCCTCCATTTTATTGTTCATGAAGGTGTGGGGTTGTGCTTTCATAGCCAGCCTTTTCAACAACTTCTGGCTTCAAAGATGAACGTATGAAAGATTGAGGTTTTGCTCTGAGCTTCAGGGCCACTTTCTACACAGTCTGAAATTCTAAAAGTAGTTTTGAAGTGGTTTAACGGCCTCCCCCCTTTTTTCCCTTCTGTCTCACTTCTGTGACTTCTATTGTACTTCTTTCTCAGCCTTCAAATAGCTAACTTACTGCTTTGTTGCAAGGAGCAGATCCCGTTGTGTAAAATCACCACCATGTTTCACAGAAGGGCTGAGGTGGAGAGGGGAGGTCATTAGCTAATGGAGCCAGTAGGGTGGTATGGGGCACCCCTCAAATCCACCTAAACATGAAAATTGGCCCTGCAATCCTGGCACTACATCCAGCAGCAATAATTTATGGCAGTTTTGAAGAGAGCTGAGATGAAAGGATTGTCTGTGTCATGGCTGTAGCCCTCAGCCTGAATGTGGTTGGCGTGCTCACGCGATGTGAAGTCATCTCATTGTGCTCATATTTCAAAGGCAACACATGGAACGTAGCCCACTCTCCAACATATCCAAATATGCCAAGGAGAATTTAGACCATTTGTTCGAGAATTAATATTAAGAGCACAGAATTGTCAAGAAGAGAAACAAAACAAAACAAACCATGGCTTAACGCAAAAACCAGACAAGCAAAGTCCTCAACGAAACAAACAAATAAAACCCTATAAAGATTACAGAGGGTGTCATTAAAAATAGATTTTAAAACTGATAACTTATAAATAGTATGGAAAACTTTATTCTATTACATTTACACAGAACTATGGGGTACAAGGGGTCCTTGGAAGTCAAGGATTTAACATTTGTGGTTTTGGCTAACAAAGAATGACATGTAGTAAATTATTTGAGCTAAGAGATTGGAGTGGAGAAGTGAATGATCCTAGCTGACTGCCAGCCATCAATTTCATTGTTATCCTCTAGTCATCCTTGCAGTAATGCTTGGGAAATAATAAGACTCATTTGTTTGTAAAAAATGAACACCCCTGCCCCCCGCCACCTCCATCTCTTTGGCCAATTGCTCTTGCTAAAGATGTAATTAAAAACGTCCAGAAAATTGGTGGTGACACAGAGTAGCTTTATAAATTATTTTAATCCTTTATCGATAGACAAGTTAAGCATATGAAAAGACCACTAAAAAACTTCAGGGTTTTATAAAAATTATCTTTTTATGGGACAAATTACAAGCTACATGGTTTTCAAAAGTGTTTCAGATATTTTCCTTGGGAATATTAAAGATCCATTTGAGGTTATGCTGGAGTTATTTCATATGAGTAATTAATTGCAATAATGCTTTGATAGGTTTAACCATAGAGCTGTACCTTAGTGTCTTCATTTGAAAAATAAATGAACACAGAGACTAAATTATTCTCAGTTGATGCTAAGACTGGACCCCAGGGAATCTGAGTTGTGGTACATGGCATGGCTAATTTTAGCTTGGTTAGGAGGAGAATGAGAGATTTTTATAGTTCATTTGTTCTCAGCAGGGGGTAGTACATGCTCCTAGGAGGCATGTGTGTGTGTCTAGTGGGATAGGAGGTGGATTTTTGGTTGTCATAATAACTGAGGGGTGCTTCTGGCATTTTGTGGGCAGAGGC